ATTTCTTCTTGGAAAGAAGAGAGGAAAGATGATCTTTGACCGCGAAAAGCCGTTTCTCGTCCATTTTGCCGCTACTCTTCAAGCCAGAAGAAAGTAATTGTACCAGTTTTTCGCTGCCGTAATTTCGCTCGTCGAGTTATCAGCGGAAATTTGTAAGGAGGCAAAGTGCCACTCACTAAAAGTAATTGTGAAGTGCAGTGCGTGAGTTTTCTCGGGCTAATAGATTGTCGCGACGCGTGGATCCGTCGACGCCGGTATTTTAGTGCTTCGGTTAAGTCGCGTTGACCATTTCGCCATTTCTTCGAATTGAGCATAAGTGTTAAAATCAAGCGGAAAGAATTTTAGTGCTTTGGTTAAGTCGTGCTGACCTTTCGCCATTTCTTCAAATTTCTCGTAAGTGCTAGGAGTAAAACTAACAGGATTTAGATAGTGGACTAGAAAATCACGGTTTCAAATTAAGGAATCGAAAGTGTAGATCGTCGTAGATTTAATCCGCCGGAACGTGTAGATCCGTACAACCGCGTATTGAGTTGTGTCGAGTTGCGCTGACTATCCGCGAATTAGACCGCCATTGTACACGTATTTTGGAATAAATAAAAATTAAGAGTGACCAATTTTCATAATTTTACGCCTTGTTACCCTCCCTTCTCTGTATGCTGATATTATTTTCAGCCGCGGATGGTTCATTACGAGAAGTACTTGTTCGTCATTTTAGGTTCCGACATTAGGTAACATACGCGCGAAGTCGAACGAATGTCCGACCCGAGATAAAGAGTCACAACCTGAGCTGCCGGCATTTCAAGGACACGAAAGGACGGAAGGAATCGAATTGTTGAACACCAACGGCCTGAATCCAAGGAAATCGCGGGTCAACGTACACCCGCTCACTCTGCGCAGTTGCACCGTGGGCGAATATAAATACGTCGCAATATTCTGGCCTTATCTCCGACGATCGCCCTAATTAGGTACGGCGGTCTGACGCCCTAATAATTAATCAGAAAAAAGGGCCAATCAGACCTTGTGGCGGAAGCACTTCGAATGTGCGCCTGAGACCCCTCAAAATTCCTCGCCACAACCTCACGTTGTGAATTATTGCGCTTTACTTTACCAACAAATCTTTGAAATCAGGCTGCATTAGGTAATCCGTCATTTCTATAAATTTTTTAATTTTGTTTTTAAGAATCTCACAGTTTCGACTGTCATTCGTACAGTGAGCAACATCGTAATTACTTTTAAATTTGATACTGTAAAAAGTGCAATTCGGACACTTGGGTGTGTCACAACTGCACTTATTTGCTAACTTATTTGCTAACGCATTTCATACACGTGGCGTCGTTTCTGCATTTGTTTGCACTCTGTCCAAATCTGGAGCATTTGTAACATGGTATTGTGTTAATGATGTCAAAAACTCTGCAATTCTGATAGCCTATGAAAATTCAATTTTTGTTTTCTCTTATGTATTTGTATAAGTTGGCTGATACTTCAAATATTGCCGTACTAGTTTTTGTTCTTTCATTTGTGTAAATATGTAAAACTTTACATTTTTCCTCATAATTAGCAAAATTTCTTTGGTTTGTGTCTATTTAACATCTTTTTCATTAGTACTAAATGATTTACATATACTTGTGACTTTGACTGTTCGTTTTTTTTTCTACTTTGCATGATTTGGAGAGTTTTTTAGTTAAAGTATCTTCTAATTTCTTAACATTTTCTTCATTCATACAGTTAATTATTATAGTGTCTTAGTTTTTAGAAATTACTTTTTTAGTTTGTATTGTTTTGTCTTTGATCAGGTAATAAGCTATAGTATTTTCTAAATTCATCATTATTTATTTTTTTATAACTAGTCTAGGTACTCTTTTATTTTTAGGTTTATTTTTTGCAATAATCTCTACATATCTGTTTTTTAAATTGTTACTCATTTTATTTTGTCTTTCTTTAGTAAGACACGCATTCTGAATGGAAACACAACAATAGCTTGTGTAATAGTCCGATTATCTGTATTTCTCAAAGAAACCATCATATCTTTCAATTATATTAGCTGTTTCCAGCATAGTCCTGTAAACGTGCAAATTCTGTCTTTAGATATAAAAAAGTATTTTCTTCACGTTAAGACATACTTTGTTTATTTCTGGTATCATGTTCTCTTGAAACATGTATACTAATGCTAAATTGACAACACTATCAAACTTTGGAGATCAATCGCAACACTATTTTTATAATAAAAAATGCTAACGTGAACTATGGATTGGTCATTATCAAAATGGAGTACTTGGACAGCATTTCGAGTAACGTATTTCATATTTTCAGAAGTCAATACAAATACTTCTCCTGGTTTCAGCTTCTCTTTCAGTTGAGTCTAAGTCGATTGATTTTTTGAAATAAAATGATTAGGCATTAATTTCTTTGATTGAGTGCATATTTCAGATATGAAGTCTTTTGTTGGTAAACATTGTTTTATCAGTGTACAGCTATCGATTTACTGCCATACGCTAAAAATGACTTTCGCAATATTTTTTACTTTTAGAATTTCCTGCACGTAATCGTGAAAATATTCAAAACCTGGCCAAGCTCTAAACAATTTCTTAAATAACAATCAATTGTCGCTTCTTTGTACATAATAATTGAAAAGCAATCATTATAATTTTGTATTGGGTGTTCAAGCCCAAGCGTTATCCTTTCCAAATCAGTAGCTTCAACCATATTTTTGAAATTTTTATGAATAGTGCAAACACATACATTATGTGTGCCTTTAGTTCCAGCCAGTTCAACGTATTCTGGTCGAAACTTTGAAAATTTGGTTAGTCTGATGGGATTCCTTCAATTCTCTATGTATATACGCTACTCAAATAATAATACTTGCTTTGCTTCTAATTTTTTAATTATACTCGTATCTTCTGATACTACAATGACATTTTTCAAATTTGGCATTAACCAGCTATTCACATCACATGTATAAAAATCTATCACCAATTTTTTTGTATTATTTGATAAAGGTTTCCCTTTCTTTAATGCTGGTTATACTAATATTCCTTCTAATTTCTTTAGTTTTTAAGCTTTCATTGACATAAGCCTAGTCGTTCCCAATTCTTTAACTGTATTACGAATACTCCATTCCTTTTCGACTTAGCACTTTTATTTACTAAGTCTTCATTTACAGATGGATATACATCTGACCTGGCTGTTTCATGTGATTCGTATACCTTTGCTACTTTTAGATTCTCAAAAATCGCTTCTACAATTTCTGCAAACTTTTGCTTCATTAATTAAATGTGAGTACTCTTGAAGAATAGCTTCTGATATTTTGTGTGAATCGGTCCAAACATGGCCCGTTCGTCCGAGCGGATTAGAACATATATCTGATCGATTAGTTGATATAGTTTGTAATGGGGTGATTATCCTACAAAATGAGAAATTTATTAACGCACAAACTCCCACGATGCAGAGCTAACTGCCGCTCCGTTAAACACGTATGGTTCTATGTGTATTCGCCTTTGCATTTGATACTTTCGTTTCAGTGTCTTCTTTTCAACCGAGTTGAACTCACCTTAATTCACTTGACTTGTAACACTCGATCTATCTTCAGTATGAATGACTTAATGCCTAATCCGCCTAATCCCCTAGACGAAATCGGATTAAGACTTAAGCCTTTATAAATCTATTAACTATTAGGAAACGAAATGACGTAAACGGCGAATAAAATTAATGAAATTTAATTAACAAAAACTACAAGTCTTTTACGGGACGAAAGACTAACGCACGCGAATAGGATTCACAATTATTGATTATAATTCGAAAATTGCCGCGAAATCTAACGCTCGGCGCGAATACAAAAAATTACGCTCGCGATATACAAAATACTGTCGGCAGTATTTTGTAGCGCAATAATAGGGAGGTGCACCTACCCTACGGTGCAATTACGGTAATCAACCATAATTGTTGAAGCGAGATTTAAACGGTGCTCTTTGGATCAACTGCGCTGCCTCACACTCAAATCTGCTGCTGCTTTTGTTGATGCTGCTGTAAATGCTGCTGCTACTGCTTATCTTCCTTGCTGTACTCGCACGTATTAAACAGTATCCACGACTTTATAATTAATAATGGCGAAACACAGTGCAAACTAAATTGGTGGTACTCTCGCGAAAGCAGCTGAGGCTTAACTGCCTATTTTCAAAACCTCGCGCGCCCTCTCTCTCTCTTAGTCGTTCGAACTAACATCGCGAGTAGACGAATCGCGAACAGATCGATTAATCGATTCGACTATCGTTGCAAGTTTAAGAATCAAAGATTAAAAGTTATTTTATATTTGAACAGCTATTTGACAATTTTCCTATTATTATATCAACTCTACCAGAGGTGTCATCGAAAATTAATTTTGTTTATATTTTATTTACTTTTTTGTCTTTTATGTGATATTGGCTAAACTTGAATCTGTATAACTTACTTAGTCAAAGCTATAACTTAAAATAATCGACATTATTTTAAAATGTCTAATTTAAATTATATTTGAATAATCAATAAATGCTTGCATGAAAAATGAACTCACTGTTTTATAATTAAATATTATGATTATTCAATCCAGCAAAAATATTTTCAATTTATAAGCATTCAAATCTCACTCATTATTTCATTTTTTTAATTATTATATGAACTATTTGTTGTGAAAAAGTAAAATTCTTACATGATTTGAAATAATGCAGAATATTATAACTAAAAATATTATCGAATAATTTATTTAATATTTGGAATAAAATCATACGCCAACTGATGTCATGCCGTAATCTTTTTTAAATATTCGTTGAATAATAGAAAAATTTGAGATAGTTTCATTCTGTTGAAGTGTATAAAAAGCGTTATTTTTTGTAGCTCTATTCAAGTAATATACTATAAGTCCGTTCACAGCTAAAGATCAAGATTAGCATGCAAAAGGGTCAGCGAGGCGTAAATAAATGGAAATAATCTATTACTCTTCACTTCTTTTATTGCTTCCAAAGTCAACACAGAAATAAGAAAATATTTCTAAACAGAAAAATGTTATGAAATATATAAGGAAAAATAATTAACGTTAAATATGAAGTGATGAAAACTCGACTGTTACGTCTTTCAATCGTAAGTAAGATTATATTAATTAATATATTTGAATAAGTAAGATAATCTATTAAATTAACTTTTCATTTTTTCCAAAACTTCAAAAGCTCTCAATGAGCTGCCTAGCCAGCTTGTCACAATCTCAATCCTTGTTCATTATTTAATAATTCTAAAGATTAATTAAGGTAATCTAGAAGAATATGTAGTTTTAACGTCTTTGATATTTTTACGCCCTAGAATGTTTGTATAATTTATCAATTTTTCATATCATCCATCGGTTCTAATATTGTTACAGTAAAGAAGGTATCTACAATCTCGTTCATTATCTTGAATGCAACAATATAAAGAGTTAAAGCGAACGAACCAAGCTCTTAATAAATTTCTTTGTCATTAAGTTTTTCTGCTTCTGTCAACAGTTATCTGTACGCATTGCTACCAAATATTTTGCTGTGGTAACCAGAACAAATGGTTAACAAAGCCTTGAAGAATATAAAGTTGGAATAACACACTTTTCAATAACCAACATGTCACCATCTTCTTCAAAGATGAGGATATTTATCATACTGTGACAATTTAACATATTTTTTGCAAATAATTTTTAGATAATTTTTTATCTTGTGTTGTTGTTAATATCTCTCTTCAAATCGTGCAAATTCAACAGCATAGGCATTGATACATAGATGTAGCGGTTTATTAATTATTTATCAGAAGGGCAATTCATGGCTATTTCAAACAGTTCAAAACATCAAATCACCAATTTTGTTCAAAGTTGGTAGACTTGTTACCTATACAGAGGTCAACATCTATGCAGAGTTTTCGAGCAAAATATTGATAAGGAGCCGACTTATCAACTGTTGAAAAAATATTGGACTTTTTTTTATTAATTTGATAAACAATTTTTTCAAAAAATCGACGATATCTCAAAAAACGATATTTTTTTTTAAATTTTTGCACCATCGTATTCCTTGTCATTGTTTATATAAGAAACCGTTGAAAAAATAAAGTGCTCGCTATTAGGATTAAGACAGCACTAAAATGAAACGAACCGCGCGCTAGTCGCTCGGTCGCTCGGCCGTCCGCTACTGGTGCGGTTCCAACGTTGCTTGCGGCAAATGCCTTTAACGAATAAATAATTTCATATTCATCAGTCTATATGTATTTATCTAAATAATATATAAATTAGTTAATTAAATTTAAATTAAATTTAAATTAAATTTAATGACTTATTTACTTAATATAACGTAATACAAAGTAATATAAGTAAAATAATATAAGTAATATAAATGAACTATTGTTTTGTACAATCTGAAACAACATTGAATGAAACATTTGCTCTGTGCGTTTGATCGGGCGTGAAAATGACGTATATTAAAGTTTTTTTTAACTATTCCTTCTCCAATAAGAGATAAAAAAATGTAATTTTAAATTACTTTTGGTTTTTATTTGAACAACAGCAACAATGACTACGATAATGATAACATCGCTTCTAAAAAATTTCCCCTCGAACGATTACACAGGCTCTTAAAAAAAAAAAGATGTCTACTTTTGATTAGAAATACTTTTCTTACGTATTTTTCGATGCTGAATCCGAATCTAGAATAAAAGAAAAGGCTTTTCCTCGCATATTTTGAGATTTATGATGAAAAACTTCATTTTTTTAGCTTCGTTCAGGGTTTTACGAAATTAAAAATTATAAAGAGTGAAAATAAAATTATTTTGACTACAGAATTGAATTCTGTCAACATATTTATACCCCACATTCCTTAAAATCTACGTTCAAATTCTTTTAAGTCGTGGTGAAATCTTTCACCTTGCCCTTCACTAAAGTCATCATTATTTTCAGGAAATTGATTAATATGAGAATCAAGAAACTGAAGTATTAAGTTTATTATGCAGCCTAATTCTGATTTCTTATGAAACACTTATTCTGTGAAGAAAATCTTTCTCTAAACAATAATGAAGAGTAAGTTCCTATCGGTAGATAGCGAACTGTTGATAAGTATTATAAATATGATCAGAAAAGTCTCAACAATTTAATTAGAAAGATTGGTTGAACCAAAGAACCATTGGAGTAGCTACGAGGGGGGTCAATAAATCTTTACCAAAAGAAGGAAAAAAAAGTTTTGCGTATGTAATTTTTTTTTTATTTTTCAACATAATCTCCTTGAAGGTCGATACATTTTATTAAACGGCCTTCCAGTTTTTTTAAGCTATCAGAAAAATATGATTTCTGAAAACCCTCAAAATAGGCTTTTGTTTCGGCGTGGACTTCTTCATTTGACGTGAGTCGTTGTCCGACAAGCCATTTTTTAAAGTTAGGAAATAAGAAAAAGTCACTGGGAGCCAAATCAGGCGAATATGATGGATGGTTAATTAATTCGAACTTTAAATCGTTAATTTTTGCCATCGAAATTGCACACGTGTGAACTCGAGCATTGTCTTGAAGAAAGAGGCATTTTTTTTTTGTTCAAGTGAGGACGATTTTCTTTGATTTTTTCTTTCAGCTAACCTAATAATGACGTATAATATTATCCAGTGATCGTCTGGCCGTTTTCCAAGTAGTCGATGCTGATGATTCCATACGCATCCCAGAAAACCGTGGCCAAAATTGAAATGATTGTACCCTTTGATACCCCTGTGGCCTCAACTAATCACTCAACACCATATCATGGATTTTGTTGACCATTTCGGGAGTACTCATTTCTATCACACTTTTCGCCAGTGCGTCGAACAGGTTCATCCTCAGATCCCAATTTTCTCTAAATAGCTTTTCTCCTAGCCCCCATAGTTTTCCGAGTCCCATATGTATTTTTCCTTCTACCTTTTTTATCTGCTTTTTATTTCCGTTATTTCTGCTTATCACATATCCCAAGTAGTTGTACTCTTTAACCATCTCTATCTTCTCACCTTCCCATTGGAATTCTTCTTCCTTCCCCCTTCCTCCTCCTCTCCCGCATTTTATCATCTTTGATTTTCCTACATTAATCTCCTTTCTTCCAGGTATCTTTTTAATTTTTTCAGCATTGCTTTCATTCCACTTTCACTCTTTGCTATTATCACTATATCATGTGCATATCCTAATGTCCATATTTTCTTCCTTCCTATCACTACCCCTCCTCCTTGTACCTATTTGATCTTGACTTCCAGGTCGACGAAGGCAAGATTAAGTAGCGTGGTGCTCAAAGGGCACCCTTGCCTTACGCCTTTGTAAGTCTCAAACTACCCAATTATTTCTTCTCTAAGTTTTACCTTACTCCCTGATTTCTTATATATTTCTTCTATTCTTTTTCTAATTTTTCTATTTATCCCTTTCTCTTTCATTGTTTCCCATATTTTCTTCCTCTTTAACTTGTCAAAACCGGCCTTTAAGTCGGCAAAGAATACAAACAGTTTTCCTCATTTTTCCCTTATTTCCTTCCCTTTTATTGTTTTTAATATATATATATATATATATATATATATATATATATATATATAGATACACATTGCGTTCATTGTTCCTCTTTTCTTCCTGAATCCCATTTGCGTATCACTTAGCGTTTCTTTAGCTGCTAGTTCTCTTTTTAGCTTTTTCCTCAGTATTTCCGCATATATTTTATATTCCGTGTCCATCGGCGTTATTCCTTTATAGTTTTCTACTTCTTCTGTCCTCCTTTTCTTATGTATTGGTACTACTATTCCCTGCCTCCATTCTTCTGAATATCCTTCTCCGTTCCATACTCCCTTTAAGCACTTTGTCATATCTCGTTATCAAGCATTCCGTGCCTTCCATCCGCGCTTCATTTGCTATACCATCTTCTCCTGTCGCCTTTTTTTTTCATTTTTCTTATTACCTCTTTTACTTCTCTTACTTTGATCTCTTCAACTTCCTCTCCTTCGCTGTCTTCGGTTTCTTCCCCTTTGCTTTCTTCCTTTTCTTTTTCTCCCAGTTCTCCCTTGAGGTGCTTTAACCATTCTTCTTTTCCTATATTTTCATCTAATCCAATTCTTTTCTTCCTATTGCAATTTACTTTATCCCAGAATTTTCTTCTCGTCTTATCTTTCTTATTTCTTCTGCCACTCTTTTTCCCTCAGCTTCTTTCGCTTTTCTTATTTCCTTTCTGCATTCTCTTTGCTTCTAGGTATTTTCCTCTGTCCCCTTCCTCTTTTCTTACCTTATTTAACTTTGCCATCACCCTAGCCCTTTTTATCCTACATTCTTCTTTCCACCAGCTTTTTTTCGATCCTTTTTTTTCCTTATCTTCTTTTTTACGACTGCGTTCCTCTCTCTCTATTTTTTATCTCTTTCCATTTTTCTGTTCCCTCTATTGCGTCTATCCATCTCTGATACTCTCTTATACCTTCTTTGCTCCAGTCCTCTATCATTCTTTCTTCCTCTTCTTTTCTTTCTTCTACTATTTTATCTCCCAATTCCACTTCTACTGGTAAATGGTCCGACTTTACCCTCTCTTTTATTTGAACCCTTTTTATTGCCTCATCACCTTCCTCGTTATCTACTACATAAACTAACGTTGACATTTCTCTCACGCGTACATATGTTATTTCTCCCTCTTTATCTCTTCCTTTCTCTTCTTTTCTCCCATTCGTTATCACTAAACCCATTTCTCCTAACCGTTTTATCATTTCTTCTTCCTCTGCGTTTAACACATTATCCTTGGTCTTTATTTCTTCTAGGTTTTCTTCTGTCTCCCTTGCTCTCCCTTCATTTCCTGTTCTTGAATTGAAGTCTCCTCCTATAATTACTGTTTTTCCTTTGTTTTTCTCAATCTTTTCGCTTAGGTATTCAAAGTTTTCCTTTTTCTCATGTTGCATATACAATGTTGCTATCATGTATTACCTCCCTTCGATCTTTATTTCTCCTGCTATTACCTCAATTGTTTTTTCTTTCTTCCATTCAACCTTACTCATTTCTTTCCTCTCTCTTACCGCCATTATTCCTTCCCCTATTTCTCTCCCTCTTCTTCATTCCCTTTTTGAGTCTCTCTAATCTATATTATACCCTTTAAATTGCTTTTTCACCC